AGGATGTACATTTTACGTACAATATCGTTTCATCATGTGTACCTAGATATTATATTCGAATAGTCGATCGCTATACCACGGTAGTTAAGGGTTGGCCTGTGGCCTATGCTCTCCCAAATATATACAATTAGCCTTCCTTCAAAACTTATACTATAGGATCGATTTTATACAAATATTTATAATATTTTTTTTATTTATAAAGTCATATAGGTACTCTGATATATAGGACAGTAAGTAACCATGCATGGAATTGGAGATGTTATAACATGGTTGACGATTGTTTAAAACTATAAACCACATGCGTAGTGTGTTGTTCGCTACAGTGGGGTAGCGATTTGCGAGTGTTTAACCCTCCTCCCCCTCATCACCATTGACATTTTCCCCCTTATAAATGTATTGTTTATATATGAAAACTGTAAAAAACTTGGTTTAATTTATACCTAAACACCCTTCCCTTACCATTTCATAATCCTAGCTACGTCAGTGGTTCGCCATACTCATTAAAATATAACATATTGTATAATAATTAATAACAAAACAGAATAGATAATTTATTTTTCTAATTTTTCATCTGGAAAATAAAATTTGGGACAAATATAATTCTTAAAAATGTTCAATCCTATCCTAAAAATAATATGAAAGCACGTGTTTTAAATTAAGAACATTTGCTTCAAATTCAACATAATAAATCTATATTTCTGAGCTCATATATAATATGTTTTCACATCTTCTGATTGTCGCCTGTGACACTTTCTGTTAGTTTTTTTTTATTAATTTTGCCAAGTTGTGAAAATTTATGTTGATATATTATCAAATTATAAAATGCATTAAGTATATAGTGATACCCGTACCTAATAACATACTACCTATAAGCATTATGCATATAATATAATATGTGTGGTAATTTATTCAAGCCATTTAGTTTAATTTTCTTAATATAAATTATATTTTTTCGTGTAAATATTAAAGCTTACGAAAAATCTAGTCTAGGCTTCAGACCCTCCGTATATAAATTGATGAACCAGGCTAATATAACCCATACGACAATAAAGCCTTAATTTTTAAATAAAAAAAAAGTTGATCAAGTTCCCCCATACAAATAAAGTTGAATAGTACAATACGGAAAGGACTTGTATAAAAGACGTGCAGATGCGTATGATAAGTCGACAACGTCGCTACAGCTAATCGGGTCTCTAAATGGATTTAAAGCACAATTGTCCAAGACGTGGTTATTGCTAAAGGCACAAACTCATGGTCGTTCATCATAATACCTAGGCTCTAGGGTGAATAATAATTTGATGGACCTATAATTAAAATAATACTGCTAAAAAAAAAAAATAATTATAAATCTAGATTGTAAAAAAACAGTTAACTTTCACATAGGTAATAATCTGGGTTAGGGACTTAAATAATATATTTTTTTTTTCATTGTACAAAACTCTTAAACTGCAATGGTTTCTTTCGTCATTAAGAAGCCATGGGTCAGTTTTGTGTGCTATAGGTATTCTTAGTATGTTTAAGACTGTTTCGTTTTTTCTGTTGGACTATTTGAGTGCCACTTGAATGTATTGTTATTTTTATTTCTCTAAGTTTTTGATTTTGTTTTTTCCATATTTTATCCTATTCTAATATAAGTACAGATATTTTTTATTTGTTTTTTAATATTGGTGTATGTTTGTATTTGTATTTTTACTTGGTTTGTTTGTGCTTTTTGCTTGGATGCTTTGTCTGCTGTTTCGGTTCCTTGGATGTTGGTAAGTCCAGGTATCCATATTTATGCACTAAAAAACAATCACATTTGAGTATATGACGTGTGCACCAAAATGTGTAAGTACTGAAAAAAGTTGAATATGTGTTATCGTCAAAATATGAAGTTCAATAATATTCATAAAAAAAGGAAAAAATACACAGCTTTTTCTACATCTAACGTTCCAATGATAACGTTTGCTATTAACAATCCTCAATATCGACTGTTTCTTCAGTTGAAACCCTCGAATGTTTATTTATTGGTATATTTGTGAAAACATTGCCTTACACATAACTACATAAGTGATAGGTCCACATTGAAAGGAGATTTTTTCAGTTTTACCTATTATCACGTTAATATAAAATAATATAAAAGTTTATTTTATTTAAAAATAAATAGATTATTCCCATAAAATATTTAATTTATATATAATTTTTGCAAAATAAAACATTAAGTGTACTTATGTTTTAAATATGCATTTATTGAAAATCCACAAATATGCAAAAATATGCACTAACAATTTTTAAATTTTAAACCATGTAATTACCATTCAAAAACAAATTTGTGTCGAATCAGATTAATTGTCCTAATTATTTTCCGAACGAATAGGTATGCAAAATATGCATAAAATCCAGAGCCCGAGTAATAATAATACAGTAGGACGTATTGGTATATTACCTATTATTGTTGTATATTGTCACTTGGATAAAACTATCTGTACATATTCGTCCTGGAAAAAAAGGTTTTATATAGACATTTATACAAACATGGTAATATCGCTTCGAATGCTGTGGAGTCGAAAACCAGCGTCAAACTGTTCCAGAACGGTTGTTTTCAGCGTTTGAAGAGTATAACAAATTATTTAAGATCCACCAAATAAGATAAAAGGCTTAATTCATTCTCTGTTGTACATTGAATCAGAATTAATGCAGTCAGTGGACTTCAACGAACTGCGAAGTCATCTGTCCCTTCGCAGAACACCAAGTTTAAATAAAGTTTAATATACCAAATTTGAAAATTGTAGATAATGATTAGAATAATGTATAGATTAAATTCATACATTATTTATTTATAAATCAGCTATTAATCATTATTTTCGGTGTTCAGTATTTTATGTAGAAAATATATTATCTAATGTTAAATAAATAAAATAATTTAAGTGATTTTGTGTTAGATTACAAAAGGGGCCGTCTTTGAAAACTGCCTCGAGGCCCTGGGAATCTATCCCTGGCCCTGAGTGCCGAGTGTCGAGTGGTACGATCATTGATTAAATGTTGATTGAATAATGTATATTTAATCAATGGGTATGATGAAGATTATTATTATTATTTTTTTATCTTTACGAGTAAAGTTTTACCAGTCACAACATCTGCTATATTACTACCTTTTTTAACCGAAAATATTTCCTCCCTACCATGTGATCCATCACCCACCAGTGCACGACCAATATCTATAATATTAAAATACCTACATTCACTCCCCGTGCTTCATTAATAATTTAATTTGCTTATTGTATCACCCACGTCATATTTTTTTTCAAGAAGTAACTCAAAACGCCTTTACCTAAATGTATACAAAAACAAAAATATATTCTATGATAAAATAGGTACTTAATATTGATTAAATCCTACATAAATTTACAGCAATAACTTAACTGTGGTGTATATGTCTTTAAAAACGGTGATCAGTTTAAATAATAGTTATTCGCTGTCAATATTAAATCTTAATAGACCAATTCAAATTATTACAACAATATGCCGCCATGTGAAATCTAAAACACTCAATGGACTACAAGTCTAAAAAATATCTCCGAATAAAAAGAAACAACCTGACAAAACTTAAAAACAACCTCTTCGACGTCAATGTAAGTAAAATCACGTGCATGTATATATTAGTTTTTAAAATAATAAGTAATACCTAACTCAATTTTATATTATTGTTCATAAATATTGTAAAATTAGTATACTATTTTATTTTAAATTATAGCTATTTTGGGATATTCGATAATAAGAATGTATTTAAAATAAAAATAATACACTTTAAATATTTGTTAAAAACGGGGAACTCACTATGCTATATTTTATACAAATACAATATGTCAATATATATAGTAGGTTTCTAGTTCAACTATTATAGTGCCTACATCGCTATTGAGTAAGCCACCGTTGTAATAGATGTGTTAAATTTTAATTCAATTATAAATCATTGTTGTAAAACAATCTGTCAGCATTAACATATTTTAATATTTTATTATAATATATGTATATTGGTACCTATATTATGGTATTTCTGTAAGAAATTTATTTTTTTATCAGTACTACGGCAGGTTGAACTAATTTTTGACAAAAATTAATTTATAATATTATTATAAATTACAATACTATTTTATACAATATTGCTAGGTACATGTTATTATTACCTAGTTAATAGTGAATACCAACATACGGTGTGAATAGCATAGAATGAATCTAAATATTTTAAAAATTGCCTTGCGTAACTATGTTACCTGTCAGGTACTCGATCAAGTGTCGATAAATGTATTATAATTTATAGGTCTAAATTCCTTATTAGAGTGAACAGTAAACTAATGACATTATTTTAAGTCCTCAAATATTTGGATGAAAATTATTGTAAGTGATAAGAAACAAATTATTGTGACGTGCAATTAAGGTGCTTTTAAGTATTCCGCTTTACCTGTACAATACAAGTATTCATGTTAAACATAAATAATGTTGAAATGTACATGTAATGTCTTTGGAAATAAATTGGCCGTATATTAAATTTTCAATTTTGAACAATATTATTGTATTATATTGTTTTGTTCTGACAGAGATATTCGTTTGGATGTTTATTCATACGTCCGATTACGCATTTTAAATCAGTTTATACTTCGTGACGAACCATTTCACGAATTATAGTACGAGGGGAAATACGTATTTTCCTTTTACATAAATATATAATAATCAATTTCCAAATGTATTACTTATATCTTATAGTTTAATAATTTTGCTAACCTTGAGTAAGATAATATTAAAACGTTGGGTAAGTCAACCTCATAAAAAAAAAAGGAAAGTTGTACAAAACAATCCAATGTTACTAAATCAGGACTATTGAATAGCCAGGCTGTCGGGAGTCTGCATAATTGCGATTTCCACACCTATAGGGGATATCCGTCGGAAGACAACGCACAAATGGCAGACGGCGAAGCATATACCTACGGCTGACGACCCAACGCTGACCGTGGGGAGAAAAAATGTCTGTATCACTGAGCTCTGTGACCAACCAACAACCGTCGGCGACGACATCGACATTGACCGAAGACTTGCAGGTGGAGGCCGATCGGAGGTCTTTAAATTTACCACCACTATCCCTGTGCCCGAATGACGAACAGTCTGTTGGAAGCTTGCAGGAGTGCGAGTTCCACATCCATAGCGATTGCAACTATTCATCGAAATCCAACGCATACACGGTATACCGACCGCGAGGCAAAAAATTGTATGTGCTATCAGTGAGCTCCGTGACCAAAAACTGACGACGACGACATTGACTTCGGTGGATTTCAATGTGTTGGACGAGCTGACTGAAGACTTCCTGGTGGTGGCTGTTCAAAATTCGTAAAATGTATCAGGGATCTCTGTGTCCGAATGAAGAACAGTCCTCATCTATTTAACATGACGACGATAGTATTCATCGTCAGAAATGAATGTACCATGGATTATTATACTAAGGGTCGTGGACAAGTTGGTAGAGTTTGACGAAGTCCGTCAGAAATTAGAAATGCAGATTCAAAGTAAGGAAAGCACCTTCCGCCGTTACCACCGTGTCTCGAGTGCGTCGGAAATTGAACACATGCCACCGATTACACGGCATACTGAAGATAGTGATTGTATAGCACCTGACCATTTGGCCAATAACATGCAACTTTTAACAACAATGGACAACCAGCAACCATTAGGCTTTGATTGTGAGCCGGACGTCCAGATCAAGATACCAATACTGTCAAAAAAATTCAAAAGATGTGAAAAACTATACTCGAACATAACTGCAGAGGATTCTAAATATTTTCTGGAACACCTCTCGCCGGTTAGTACGGTGACTGAACAGCTTAATGCTCACGTGACATAGGTTCAAAATTCAAATCCAGTTGTTAGATGTACTGGCCAATGATAAAGAATTGGTTCCGGACTAGGCAGCCGAAAGCAAGACTATATGGTATCTATGGCCGTGGCCAAAAGTGATGGCGACGGGTTTATATCCAGTGATGACTACGATTCAAGTAAAGACAACAGCAGCAGAAAAACCCAGGTAAGGTTGTTCTTATATCGGCTCCTCAAGTTCGGAAGGACGTTATGCTGTTGCTGTCTCAAATAAATAGGGTGGTGGTAGGTACACTGATACCGCCATGTGGTGAGCTCGAGTGTATCTGGGAGATGACAATGAGTTGGGAAAATGAGAGAGATGCAAGAAGAAATGTTGACTGGTGGAATCTATCCAAAACTAAAATTTAAAATTTATTTAAACGATATTTTATCTGTGAGTTCTTTTATAGTTTTTACAACAGTACTCAATCCGGTCGAAAACGTAATTTTTTCTTCAAATTTCGGATATTTTCCATCTCCTATTTTTAAGAGTAACTCTGAAAACTCCTTAGCAGTCCTGTATGATTTTAAATTACTCTCATATTTATGGTCAAAAAAACTTTTTCTATTTGAGGCCACAAATATGAAGACTCGATGCCTGCTGCAATTCCATTAGCTCGAGTTCCGCTTGGTACGATTGGTAGAGTTTGTCAAAAATCTCCAGCTAGCAGTACCGTGACTCCTCCCATCAATAAATTCGAATTTTTCAGATCCTCCAGACAGTTGTTTAAAGCTTCAAATCCTTTCTTATGAGACATTTATATATTACTAGCTGATCCCGTGCACTTCGTCGCCCGTTAAATGGATCAACTCAATACTACCTACTCAAACTTTGTTCAATTCATTATTCAATATTCGGTGTATGGTGTTCAAAATTTATCTTATCTTTCCCGTTGCCCTGAATAAAAATTCTGAATCGCAGCAGTACATTATCAGGTAGGCAATCTACCTGCGGTAGATCGCGGACCCCGTGCTGTTTGTACGGAAGTGTATGATTTAACTCTAAAGTATCAAAGTTATACCAAGTTTATTTTGATGTAATACTGTGGATTAATATAATAAATTTGGTTGCTCGTAAAAAATCGCAACTCTTAAAAAAATTATGATTGTTGAACTCCTTTTGGGTGTAATTTTCTGCGGTAAGTGCAACTCTGCCACCCTGGTAAGCATTGTTCAATAATTCGATTTTATGCAAGCTTGTACCTGATCTGCCCGAATAACCAATGGCAACCAATAAATAAATGCTAATTTCTAATGTAGACTGTAACCAATGGCAACTATAAATAAATAAAAATAAAATTTCCAATTTCTATCGTGAATCTCAATGTCCCTGTTTCAGCACCTATTTAAAATGCGAATTTTGGCAAATCCTTTCTTAGCGCACGTCTATATTATAATAGCTATCTGTATGCCAAATTTCAGCCAGATCCGTCCAATGGTTTGAGCTGTGCGTTGATAGCAGTCAATCAGCTTACTGTTTTTTATATACAGATATGGTTGCCATGGTAATATGGACACACACACACACACACACACACACTGACATACATTCATTTTTATATATATAGATTTATATGAAATCTTGGTAACCTTAGTAACCATGGCAACCTTGGTAACCATGGTAACATGGACACACAGACACACAGACACACTGACATACATTCATTTTTATATATATAGATATACGCAACAATTGTATTTCGGATCTCCTGGCATCTTTCTTGAGTGTTAAACAAATGAAAGAAAATTGAACGGAAAAGGCAGGTACAATCACTGTTGGCGCCGACGTAACTCCTACGATATATGGCGGTTAGCCACGACGACTCGCGTCGGGATGGGAGTGAGGTGACAATGGTTTTTTGAATTAAATGTGAACACAAAATTGGATTGTTAAATGATAATATATAATATGGAATTAATAATAATTCGTAGGTATATCAGTAAATATTGTACAGACTCGAATGACTTGAACCTAATTTATATAACTCAAAGTAGATGTGTAACACAAAAAAAAAAAAAAAAAAAAACATAATTGCATTGAAAACACATACAAAAAAATAAATACATATATGTTACATATTATGGTAACAATGGATATAAACCATAAAATAATTATACTAAACATATTTGAACAAAAACAGTACAGTATACAGCTCCCCCAACCCCCTCCAGCGAGAACATCGCAGGTGACCGCCACATACGTCAGTTATGTTGATCATAGCATATGGGTGTCATGTTGAAGTGTGAGATTCATGCACGTATAATTGGTAAAACACAAATAACAAACAGGCAAATACTAAATCGTTTGGGGGCCAGGGCAATTTATATTTTCAGTCGGTCGGTAGCACAACCAATTTAACTACTGGTCGTGTGATGCGTCCCTGATGCGTTAACACCGACGCAACTCGCACGGTTCCATCGGGTCCTGGCACTAGTTCAATGATGCGCCCGAGACGCCATAATAAAGGTGGTGCTTGATTGTCAACCACGACGACCATGTCGTTGACCTTTACATTAGGGACACGACTTGTCCATTTGACGCGTTCTTGGAGCGTTGTCAAGTACTCCGTTGACCAACGTTTCCAAAACGCTTGATGGCACTGGTCCAGTAACTTCCACCGATTGTTCAAGTTACGGGTAGCATCTGGGTTGGAACGAGGTGGAACGGCGAGCAGTGGTTGTCCAATGAGGAAATGCCCAGGTGTGAGACACTCCAAATCATGAGGGTCTGTGGATGCGGGCGTCAGTGGTCGAGAGTTGAGGACGGCTTCGATGCGGATCAGGACAGTACTGAACTCTTCATAGGTGAAGACGTGTGTGCTCATTGTGCGAACCAACAAACGCTTAGTGGACCGGACAGCCGCCTCCCATAACCCACCAAAATGCGGAGCACTGGGGGGGTTAAAATGCCATTTACAATGTGGACGAGAGTTGGTAGTAATGGCGAGCTGACCTTGCGGGCTGTTAATAAGCGCTTGCAGTTGCTTGTCAGCACCTACGAAGTTTGTTCCGCAGTCGGAGTATACATCACTGGGGAGTCCACGACGGCCGACGAAACGGTCAAACGCTGCCAAGAACGCATCCGTTGACAAGTCCGACACCACTTCAAGGTGGACAGCCTTGATAGTAAAACAGACGAACACTGCTATGTAGACCTTATAGCTCCGAGATTTCCGAAGCTTTAACTCTCTCATTTGTAGGGGGCCAGCATAGTCCACACCGACTCGAGCGAATGGACGGACTTGTTGCACGCGTGCAGCAGGGAGGTCCGCCATCAAAGGTTGAGGAGGTTTTGCAGCTGAACGAACACATACGGAACATTTTGTCACCACTTCATGTACAACCGACCGAATGGCGATGATCCAGTATTGGCGTAAAATGAGTGATATCATGACGTGGGGGCCGGAGTGGCACGTTAGGCGATGCCACCGACGACAAATCAATAGCGCTAAATGGGAGCGCTTGGCAATTAACGTTGGGTGTTTACACTCGTACGATAGGGTGGAATGACGAAGGCGACCACCAACTCGGATGATTCCAACATCGTCGACGAACGGAGCTAAACGAGCCAACGGCTTTGACGATACCCTGGTCCCACTTGATAGCTCACGTAATAGGTCAGAGAAGTGAATACGTTGAGACTCTCTGATAATACTGCGAGTTGCACAGTCGACCTCAACCAGACTCAGACACTTCGTCGGAAGTGGTTCAAGATCGCAACGACGGCACCGGTTGATGAAACGGTGCATTATGGTGGTGACGCGAATCATGCGGTCATATGATGAAAAACGGTTGAACCATTCTTCTAGAGTGTCGTGCGGGTCGATTCGAGTTGTGAGAGAAACTGGTAACACTTCAGGTAAGCTGCACACTGGCATGGGTGCTACGAGATTTATCCACGTAGATGGATTGGCCCGAAGAATCGCAGGACCTTGCCAATAGAGTGATAGCTTCGTGAGTTCTGAAGGCATCACACCTCTTGACGCACAATCGGCAGGATTGTTTGTCGACTCAATATGGCTCCACTTACAATCAGGCACTATGGTGCGGATCTGATGAATACGATTGGACACATACACCTTGAATGACGTATGAGGGACCGTTAACCAGGATAGGACTATCATCGAGTCGGTCCAGCCGTAAGTCCCAACAATCTTGAGATGAGGATCCAATACTCGTTTGATGCGCCCAAGCCACCGAGCGAGTAGCAATGCGGAGTTCAGCTCCAGCCGTGGTATAGTTAATGGCTTCATCGGAGCAAGCTTGGTCTTAGACCCGACGAGAACGGCAGGTTGAACACCTGATGACTCAGCTGACAGCACATATACGACCGCGGCATATCCAAGCTGCGAAGCATCGCAAAAGCCCAACAAGTAGCATGAAGATTGTCCGAACGTGCTGAAGTGACGTGACACACGAATCGTCGATAACGATGGCAGATCGGACAGAAACGAGGACCAGTCAGCATGAATTTCAGGAGGCAGTGGATCATCCCATGCCAACCCTAGTTGCCAAGTCCGTTGCATGATGCATTTTGCCCAAAAAATTGTAGGGCCGAATAACCCCAACGGGTCGAATATTCTGGCCACCGTTGACAGCACGCCACGTTTAGTGAATATTGGAGATGGTTGAAAGCGCAACGCACAGCTGAAAAAATCATCGTTGGGGTTCCATTGCAATCCGAGTACCTTTGTTCCTCCGTCTTCGGAATCGTGGAATGGTAATGGCGTGCTTACCCGATCAGCTGCCGGCACAGACGACAAAATGTCATGAGTGTTGCTGGACCATTTTTTAAGTTCAAGCCCAGATTTTGCGAGAATACGCTGTAAGGACAATTGGAACTCCAAAGCACCTTCAACTGAATCCGCGCCTACGCAGATATCGTCGACGTATGTCTGGTACAGCAAGGCAGCACGGACATGATCGGCGTCGGCGCAATCAGTTTCAGCAATTGACTGTAGCACGCGTATGGCCAGGAACGGAGCA